GTGTATGCTTAAATTATCATGACTTGCTTTGTAGTAAGTGCATCGAGCTCGTAAACATGCCTACTTGATATCTGTTTTGCATGCTCCAGTTTTTCACCACGTCTGTGGTCTGATTATGATTTTGCCATGTTCACATGCTTGCAAATGTATTTTCTGATCCCTTTTGGCTCAAGGTCACTAAGGGACTTTTGTTAAGCTCTTTGAGTAGCTCCATGCCATGCTTTACTTGGCCATGTTCAGGTCCTCTAGCATATAGTTTTCATGCTCCAAAGTGTGCTACCTGATCTGAGATTCCAGACAAGTGTTAATTTCACTAAGTCTGAAATCTGTTTACCAAATGCATTTTTGCCATGCTTGTTTGAACCCGTTAATGGATGAATTGGCCGTAGCTCACTGCTAGTCTTTTGTTAAGCATCATGAGAGGATCCCTGCCATGTATTTTGTTGCCATGTTTGAGTGCTGTAGCATGTTCATCTTGTTGCATCTAGTCGACTACTTGCTGTAAATCGCAAAATGTGGTCATATTTGAATTGCTTGCCATTTCCAAACCGTAACTCCGATTACGGCGTTCTTTATATCGTTTTCAAGCGATTTCATCTCATCTTTCCAGTGGCACACTTGGATTTCCAAGTTGAGTCCAGGTTCATTCGTTCCTTGTCAAATCTTGCATATGCATCACATATTGCATCCCGCATAGCATACCATCTTTGCACCATGTTGTTTGAGTTTGCACGTGGTTGATTGTGTCCTTGTTGCTTGTTTGTCTTGTTTGGGTAGAGCCGGGAGACGAGTTCACTAACGAGGAGCCCGTTGAGTTTGCTTTCGAGGATCCAGTCAACTCTGACAACTTTGCAGGCAAGATGATCATACCCTCGAAATCACTACTATCTTTGCTTTGCTAGATGCTCGCTCTTTTGCTATGCCTATGCTACGATAACTACCACTTGCTTATCATGCCTCTCAAATTTCCATGTCAAACCTCTAACCCACCATGTCCTAGCAAACCGTTGATTGGCGATGTTACCGCTTTGCTCAGCCCCTCTTATAGCGTTGCTAGTTGCAGGTGAAGATTGGAGACCGTTCTTTGTTGGGACATTATTTACTTGTTGGAATATCATTATATTATCTTGTTATCTTCATGCATCTATATACATGGTAAAGGGTGGAAGGCTCGGCCTCTCGCCTGGTGTTTTGTTCCACTCTTGCCGCCCTAGTTTCCGTCATACCGGTGTTATGTTCCCGGATTTTGCGTTCCTTACGTGGTTGGGAACCCCTTGATAGTTCGCCTTGATTAAAGCTTTTCCAGCAATGCCCAACCTTGGTTTTACCATTTGCCACCTAGCCTATTTTCCCTTGGGTTTCCGGAGCCCGAGGGTCATCTTATTATAGCCCCCCCTGGGCCAGTGCTCCTCTGAGTGTTGGTCCAACCGAGCGATGTCTGGGGCTACTAGGGGCAACTCTGGGCTGGCCTACCCGAATTCTGGCTCATCTGAGTGTGCTCTGAGAACGAGATATATGCAGCTCCTATCGGGATTTGTCGGCACATTCGGGCGGTGTTGCTGGATTTGTTTTAACTTGTCGAAGTGTCTTGTAGAACCGAGATACCGAGCCTGATCGGAATGTCTCGGGAGGAGGTCTATTCCTTCGTTGACCGTGAGAGCTTTTCATGGGCTAAGTTGGGACTCCCTTGCGGGGATTTGAACTTTCGAAAGCCGTGCCCGCGGTTATGGGCAGATGGGAATTTGTTAATGTCCGGTTGTAGATAACTTGAACCTTAACTTAATTAAAATGAATCAACAGTGTAAGTTATCATGATGGTCTCTTCTCGGCGGAGTCCGGGAAGTGAACACGGTGTTGGAGTAATGCTTGCCGCAGGTTGCTCTCTAGTTATTCGTTCGCGCTTTGCCTCCTCTTCTCGCTCTTTTTTGCGAACTTGTTAGCCACCATATATGCTAGTCGCTTGCTGCAGCTCCACATATTTACCTTACCTTACCCATAAGCTTAAATAGTCTTGATCGTGAGGGTGCGAGATTGCTGAGTCCCTGTGGCTCACAGATTACTTCCAAACCAGATGCAGGGCTTGATGATTCCGTTCCAGATGACGCGCTTGAGCTCAAGTGGGAGTTCGATGAGGACTCACGCCGTTACTACGTGTCTTTCCCTGATGATCAGTAGTGGTGCCCAGTTGGGATGATCGGGACCGTGTCGCATGTTGGGTTGGTCTTTTATTTTGGCGCCGTAGTCGGGCCATGAGTGTTTGAATGTTGTAATGCTATTTATGTACTTGATTGACGTGGCGAGTGTAAGCCAACTATGTATCTTCCCTTTTATTATCTATATTACATGGGATGTTGTGAAGATTGCCTAACTTGCTACATTGCTTTCAATGCGGTTATGCCTCTAAGTCGTGCCTCGACACGTGGGAGCTATAGCCGCATCGCGGGCGTTACAGCCAGTGCCGGGCACGCCCCCGAAAAGCTGCCCGGGGCCTCCATCTTCCTTGCAAGCACCGGGAGAGCGGTGGAGAGGCGGGGTGGAGCAGGCGGCCGGCGAGCACTCAGCGACCCGGTGAGCCGGGGGAACACACTTGAAGCATTTGCTTTGACGGAAGCACGAGTTTGTGCCACCAACCAGCTGCCATTGCCAACCACCGCCATTAGGGCATCTTCAGCCGTTGGCCCCCCAGGGGGCGCCTAAAATCGCCGCTTGGGGGTGAGCCGGCGCAAAAATTGGGCCTGGGGCGAGTGGGTCCCCAGCCGCCGGCCCTAGGGCCGCCCCAGGCACGTTTTAAAATAAAAGAAGTTCGGCGAAGTTCGGCTTAAACACGATAAAATTCGGCCAAACATGATAAATTTTGGCCAAACACGATAAATTTCGGCCAAACACGATAAATTTCGGCACATTTCGGCGAAGTTCGCGGATTTTCATTACATAGCACATATACATAAACTAATCTAAAGGAAAAACTGGCTGAAGTCGCCGCCGTCGCCGCCATCGTCGTCGTCGGCCTTCTCCTCCTTGACGCGGGCGCCCTGCTGGACCCCTGCCCGGCGTCGCCATGGCGGACTGGTGGCGGCGCATCGTCGTCGTCGTCGTCGTCGCTGTCGTAGATGACAATGACTCCGCCTTCGTCGCGGCCGCGTCGACGCTCCGCGAAGCGAAGCAGGGCGGCGCACTGGCGCTCCTTCGCCTTCTCCAGGCGCTCCTTCTCCATCGCTATGGAGTCCCTGCGCGTCCATTCCAGGGCCGCGTCGTCGTTGTCGAGCTCCGTCGTCACCGGCGCGGCCGGCTCCTTCTTCACCGGCGCGAGCCCCGGCTCCGTCTTTGGCTTGACAAAGCGCGGAGGAGGAGCCGACGAGTAGGCGCGCCGGCCGCCCTCATTGATGACGATGCCGGTGCTGCGAGTGCGCCGGCCGAGCGGCGTCTCCACCGCGGGCTCGACCTTGACGCCGAGCAGGACCGGAGTGCCGGAGGAGTGCGATGAAGATCGGGAGGAGGAAGAAGAGGAGGAGGACCCGAACCTCCTTGGCGCCCATGGCCCGGCGCGTCGGTGCTGCGCCGGGGCGGCCGCCCTCGCCGGGTACGCCAACGGCGGGTCGTTGCCGCCCTCAAGGTACGCCAGCACGCCCTCGAGTGTGCGGCCGGGGACGCCCCACCACAGGTGGCGCCCCTCGCTGTTCTGCCGCCCACCAACCACCGGCGCGCCGTTGATGGACGCCAAGCGCTGCTGCTGGCGGCGCTCGAAATACGCCGCCCAAGCCACGTGGTTGTCGGCGGCGTACTGGGCGAGGGAGAGTTGGGCGTCGGTGAGGGAGGCGCGCACGACCTCGACTTCCTCGGCTAAGTACTTCGGCTTCGCCACGACGTCGGGCAACGGGGGAATGGGCACTCCCCCGGCGCCGAGCCTCCACCCCGTCGGCCCGGCGCGCATGTCCGGCGGCGCCGGGATGTTCGCCTGAAACAGGAGACAGGACTCCTATTCGCGGAGCGAACGGCGGCCGAAGCCGTTGGCCGCCGCCTCGTCTCCGGGGAAGCGTTCCGCCATGGCGAGGGGCTCGGGAGAGGTAGAGAGATAGAGGGAGGGGCTGGGCGGCGGCGCTCGGGAGAGGTAGGGAGAGGGAGGAGCTGGGCGGCGGCGGGGGGCGGGGCTGATGTGGGCACAGGCGAGTGCATGCCACCGGCTATATAGCCGCGCCGCACCCGTGTGTACGCGTGCGAGGGAGGGGAGGCGTCGGCGCGCCGTCCCGTGACGCGCCGCCCGTGAGGAATCAATGGCAAGGCTGACCGGCGGCAGCCTTGGTATTGATTCCCCGCGGGAACCGAGGCCGTTGGCTGAAGACGAGGCGCCATGTCGCTGACGCGGCGGGCCCGCGGCTGTTTCGCGCCAAAACAGTTCGCCCCGGCGCCCCCGGGTGTCCCCCAGCGCGCCGGATTCGGTCTGGGTCCGCCGGCACTGTTTTCGGCCCAGACCAGCGAAAATCAAGCTCCTGGAAGCGCGACTGGGCCTTGTTTTGACACCGGCGCGAAAAAATCATTCGGGGAGATCTTCCTGAGGGCGCGGCTGGAGATGCCCTTACTTACTCTCGTCCGACTCCTAGCGGCAGGGGCAGGGGCAGTTACCACGGACCCGAGCCGCGGACGCGGAAGCCCGGGAGAAAGCGTTCTGACCCCTCTCCCAGAGGCCGCAGCCGCCACTATCAACAGCTTGCAGTGATCTAGACAGTCTCCCCTCACCCTGAACCAGTTCACAGTGCATCCATCCAGCAGCAGGTGATGTCCAGTGAGAAACCTGATAACTGGCCCGGGATAAACTGCTCGCACATCTGTAAACCGCAGACCAGTTTCGTCAATAGATCCATTACAGTAGCAGTAGTATTACATCAACCCGCTGACACAGTACAAACAACAATCAAAAGGTAAACACCGGCCATCATCGGCCCACTTCACAGTCCACACACACGCGCGCGCGCGCGCGTAGGTCATGCCACCATGCATGCCGGCTACTCCTGCTTGTTGTTTGATGAAGTTGAAGCTGCGGCGGCTTGTCCGTGCCTGATCTTGGCGAGCTCGACCACCCTGCCGACGTCCGGCAGGACCGCCCTGGCCGCATCAAGCGCGCCGAAACGCTCCATCCACGCCGCCAGCAGCGGGGTCCTGGCGGGGTCGAACACCTTGGCGCCGGACATGGCCTCGATCGCCATCAGCCACGAGTGCATGCTCCCCAGCGCGATGTCCACCAGCCCGACGCCGTCGCCGCCGAAGAAGCCCTTCCCCTTGGAGCACTCCCTCAGGGCCCCCTCCAGGGCCTCCACGGCCACCACCATCTCCTTCATCGCCTCGGCGGATCTGCCCTCCCCCGCCTTGCCCCTGGACGAGTTCGTCCACTGGGACACCAGCTTGTCGTCGACGTAGGCCGCCCAGAAACGGGCCACGGCGCGCTCGTGGGGGTCGGCGGGGAGGATCGGCGGCCCGGTGCCCGCGAACGCCTCGTCGATGTACTGCACGATGATCATGGACTCGCAGACGGGGACGCCGTTGTGGATGAGCACGGGGATCTTCTTGTGCACGGGGTTGGAGGCGAGGAGGAGGCCGCTCTTGTTGTGGACGTCCTCGTCGACGTTCTCGTAGCTCAGGCCCTTGACGGCGAGGGCAAGCTTCGCTCTCGTGACATACGGACTCGACCATGACCCCAGCAGCTTCAGCTCATCTCCTCCTTCGGCCATCTCTGACTGGATCGTGTCTGTGTAGCTCGTAAGATTTACCTTGTGTTTTGTTTGGGAACTTGAGCTGGGAGGAAGTGTATATATGGTGCTTGGGTTGGGATCGGGGAGGCGCGAATTACTCCATCCGTCATCCGTGATGCTTTTTAAAATGTGTGCGTACCGTCAAATCAGTAAAACTTCACAAATGTGCACACATCGCATGCTCATTTGATTATATTTTTACGAGGAGTTGACTTGACTAATCTCCAGATTACTTCGTAGTGAAGTGTTTTTTTAGCTGATTATATACATAAAAATGTATGGCCGGCTACCTTGGCAGCGAAGGCGAGCTAGGCAAGTTATTAAACTCACACGCATGTGATTTTCCGTTCTTCATTATCCACATTATGTTGTTATTCAAATTCAGTATAAAGATAAAGATAAAGGCTAACTTAGGCGACGGGTCGGAGCGGAGCGTACAGGGCACCCATGTCCCCGGGCATTTTAAAGTGGGCCTGCCCATACTAGCATCTTCACCTGCAACGATTTTTTGTGGCTCTTTTCTTTTGGTTTGTCCGGAACCGGATTTTTCTTGGTTTTCTTCACTTTTTCCTTTTTCTCATTTTTATTTATTTCCTTTTTCCTTTTTTCTCATGCTCCTTTTTAGATTAATGAACATTTTTTGAATCCATGGTTTTTTTTTTGAATCCATGATTGTTCTTTAAATTCTTGAACTTTTTCGAATCAGCAAACTTTTCTATTGAATCGGCGAACTTTTTTTGAATTCACAAACTTTCTCAAATTCATACCATTTTCCAAATTCGCAACCTTTTTTGAATTCGTGGTGTACGTGCTTGAAAAGGTACACCATGAGTTCCTCAAATCTAGAACTCTATTCCTCATCCATAGACGCTTCGCCTTCAAATCAGACTTGCTCCTTCTCAAAACCGCGATTCTTCCTCGGAGATGATTCAGTTTCTAAGCATTGTATGCCGTAACTTTTGCAAAACTTTCTCAGATTTTAATTGCATACTCTAGGGATCATATATTGATGCCATGCCGAGTTTCATGTTTTTGGGACTTTGTTTGCAGTTTTTGGAATTAAAAAACCAATAAGTTGCATGTTCAGGGTCGACTCTTGACACCCTTATGTTTGAAATTCCTTTCCTTTTCTCGGATAGGCCTAACCTTGAACTCAAGAACACAAATATGATTTATAACCCATTTTTTTCAGCTTTCTCATGCACTTGCAGTTCAGTTTTTTAATATTATATTCATCTAATGGCTTAGATATAGCAAACAGACCCCGAAAAATGCCAAATTTTGACATGGATCATGTAAGGTGTATCTCGATTCTCGAGTGTAGAGAAAAAAGTGAAGTCTAGTAGATGAAGCAATAGCTGTACCGCCTTCAAACCTGACCTGTTTCCTCTCAAACCTACATTTCTTCCCCGGGGATACTCCAGTTTCTAAGCAGTCCACATCACCATTGTTGTGAAAGGCTTCTCAATTTTTTACCACAACATGTAGGTGTCATATGTGGGGACCATGCTCTGTTTCATGCGTTTTCGGACAAAATTTGCATTTTCATAATAGAAAAATCAGTAAACTCCAAGTTTTGGGTCTAGTCTTGACACTCATGTTCACGATTTCCTTTTCTTGGATAAGGCCTAAACATGGGCTGCAGAACACAAATATGATTTTTCAACCCAATTCAAAAATTTCATGTACATGCATTTTTTTATTATATTAACTAAATGCCTAGACATGCACTTAGTTTCTTAAATATAGCACACAAATCCCAAAAGATGTCAAATTTTGACATGGATCATGCAATGGTGTATCTTCGGTGTATAAAAAGATTTCAAAGCCAACAAATTATACACTGGCGGCGTCACCTTCAAACCTGACTCTTTCCCTCTCAAAACCAAGTTTCTTTCTCTAAGATGGGTCGGTGTCTAAGCAGTGTACGACACAAATTTTATGAAACATTCTAAAATTTTACATGTGTCATATGAGGATACCATGCCACGTTTCATCCTTTTCAGACATTGTTTGCATTCTTTTAAATTAAACACTAATAAACTTCATGTTCGGGGTCGAGTCTTGGCCCCCTAATGTTCAAATTCCTTTTATTTTCTTTGATAAGGCCCAAACATGGACTCAAGAACACAAATATGATAACGCCTAAACATGGACTCGAGTAAATAGAGTGGGAGGAAGAGAAAAACGTCGAAAAGAATAGACCATACATGGAAAAAAGAAAACAAATAATGTACAGAAGAAAACCAAAAGGTGATAGCCGAGTGCACTAAAAAGGCACTTGTTAAAGAGAAAGGAGAAATAATAATAATAAAGTGTTTGTCGAGTGCTCCAAAAAGCAGTTGGCAAAAAGAAAGGTGAAGAAAAAAATAAAAATAAAATTCTTGGCCAGTTCCAAAAAATGTCACCCGACAAATAATTCTTTGGCCAGCAAAAAAATACACTCGGCAAAGAGTTGTTTGCCGAGTCCAAAAAAAGTACTTGACTATGATAATGTTTACCTAGTACCTGATGAAATGCACTCGGAAAACAACACACTGGGCAAAGTTCCAGATTCTAGTACTGAGTGCCTTTATGCGCCATTTAGCTGATTTGGCTGGAATTTGCCATAGCCGCTAATTTTAACATTGGTTTATTGTGAAATGAACAAAAGGTTTTGCTATCTCTTAGGCTGGTTGTAATGGGGAGTATCATATACTAGTATCATGCATATGATACTAGTGTATGATACTACCTCTCTAATGCATAGTATCATATATTAGTGTCATGTAGTACTCTATTTATTACCATGCATGACACAAAGTAACATAACATTTATTATGATACGGTATCATGATATGATACTTCATCCTCTTTTTTTTCATTTAATACTATGACACCTCATCAAAATTGCCTAGTTGACATGCATAATACTAGTTATGATACTACCATTACGACCAGCCTTAAGGAAACTTAGGGGAACAATTTCTAATGAAGTCATTATTACTGAGAACCATGCGTAGCTACTTTAGGATTAGTGCACAAAAGGGATGCGAATCTCCTGCTCTAATGACTCAGCATTTTCGCGCAAAAAAAAAACACAATTGACAGTTGAACCGTTTCTATGCTGAATGAGCCATACCCACTTTCTAAAATTAGGCATTATCGCTAGAAAATCCCAAATTTTAATATTGATATTTCATTATTACATTAAGATGGTTTTGTAGTGAAAACTGTATGGTTCTCTCAGATAATTGTCGATCATCTATTTTGGATGGTGCAGGAGTTTGCATTCACCTTATTTCATAGAAGGCGATCATGTCTTAGTACATATAGACCATTCGTTCACCAAGAAAACACCAGCTATCATTCTAGGGCGAATAGAGTCAATCACTACATAGTAAAGTAGGAAGAAACCATTCGTTAGTGAGAATCAGGCACCATTCCAGAGCAAATAGAATCAACTACTGCATATGATAAATAACTACGATGCTTTGTATATAAATAACCACAATAAACTAAGTATTTAATTGTGAGAATCTTCCTATCAAGGGAAATAACTGATGTAATCATACATCATGCAAAAAAATATTAGTCGAATCATACACACTAAACATTTCATATCCAGAACATAAAAACGTTGAATCCTAAAGGAAAAAGTTTAATTTTTACTCAACTCCTATTGTTCATAGTATGGTCTGTGACCCTCAATTTACAGACATGAAGTTTACATGGAAATGTAAATGCTATAATCTTTTTTTTGGCAAAAAAAACACCTAGATCTATTAACCAAACCAACCATGCAAACATTCTGGAAAAATAAAGAAATTACATCAAAATCCCGGAGCCGACCATTTTCTTCCTCCCGAACGGGCTGATGACATGGTACCACAGACTCTCCATCACTGGATGTTGCAGTATAAGTGCATAGCCTACCTTGTCAATCAGCTTGTGCATGCAACTCTACATGATTTTGGTGTTACGAGTTCAAGTTTCAGCCGGCACAATTAACATAAAAAAAAATTGCTGCCCACCCTTGGTCAACGTTTAGGCCCGCCGTGGGAGCCAACACTTGAGGGTGAGTCCACCTTACTCCATTAGCTTTGGTTTTTGGGGTAAACTGGCTATAATGCAGGCAATTCTACATACCAGGTTGACAATTGTTATCATTTGAATTCGCTATACTCATGAATTCGTTTGGACAAAACACTAAATGAATACAAACAACTAGAAGTACACAGGAATGAAATTTGTCTACATTTCTTTTGTTTGTCATCTCAAAGATCTCTTCTCGGAATTTAAAAATAAGACTGCTTTGCCTTTGACTTTGCATCCATGATTGTTTCAAGCTTATCCTCGCTAGCTAATAAGCTACTTCCTTGTGATTCTTCCGATAAAAATCAGGCTGACTCAGTCTCTTCGAAATAAGATGGTTGACTTCGCATACATGTTATTCGAGCTTATAATCGCTAATAAGCTCATTTCGGCGTGGTCATTCTTCCGATCAATGATAGTTTGTGAGGCCAAAGCTTCAAGAGCGGCTTCATAAATCCAAACGAAGTTACCAAAGTTGTCTAAGCATTCAGGTACTTTACCAAACTCGACTCACACGTTATGTAATTTTCCATCATATTGACTGTCAAATGTCCAACTCTGCACACTGATAGTTGCACCAGTCCCTAGCAGATTAAAACCATCAAATTTGGAAAGGCCATCTCATCAAATAACAGTTGCTATGGCGTCTACGGAGGTATGCGAAATGAGGGCTGAGCAACTGTTGAAGCTAGCCAACTGCACAAGCCCACGTCCATGTCCGTAAGAGCACCTCCAACCATTGGCCCTCCATGGGGCGCCTAAAATCACCGCATAAGGGTGAGCCGACGCAAAAATTGGGTCTAGGGATGAGTTGGTCCCCAGCCGCCGGCCCCAGGGCCGCCCCCGGGTGTGTTTGAAAATAAAATTTGTTTAGTAAAGTTCGGCACAGTTCGGCGAAACACGATAAATTTTGGCAAACTTGAGCATATATTAGACATGTTCGCCGGTTTTCATTACATAGGAAAATAGAAGACTAATAAATTAAAAGAGAAACTAGCTGAACGCCGAGTAGTCGCCGTCGTCACCGCCATCGTCGCCGCCGTCGTCGAACTTCTCTTTCATGACGCGGCCGTCCCTGGTGGACCCCTGACCGGCCTCGCCAACGCGGGCGGGTGACGGTGGCGCGTCGTCTTCGTCGCTGTCGCAGATGACGACGACCCCGCCTTCGTCGCGGCCGCGTCGGCGCTCCGTGAAGCGGCGCAGGGCGACGCACTGGCGCTCCTTCGCCTTCTTCAGGCGCTCCTTCTCCATCGCTATGGAGTCCCTGTGCGCCCATTCCAGGGCCGCGTCGTCGTCGTCGAGCTACGTCTTCACCGGCACGAGCCCCGGCTGCGTCTTCACCGGCGCGAGCCCCGGCTCCGTCTTTGGCTTGACGAAGCGCGGAGGAAGAGCCGACGAGGAGGCGCGCCAGCCGCCCTCGTTGAGGACGATGCCGGCGCTACGAGTGCGCCGGTCGAGCGGCGTCTCCGCCGCGGGCTCGGCCTTGACGCCGAGCAGGGCCGGGGCACCGGAGGAGTGCGAGGAAGATCAAGAGGAGGAAGAAGAGGAGGAGGAACCGAACCTCCTTGACGCCCATGGCCCGGCGCGTCGGTGGTGCGCCGGGGCGGCCGCCCTCGCCGGGTACGCCAACGGCGGGTTGTTGCCGCCCTCGAGGTGCGTCAGCACGCCCTCGAGTGTGTGACCGGGGACGCCCCACCATAGGTGGCACCCCTCGCTGTTCTTCTAGCCGCCGACCACCGGCGCGTCGTTAGTGGATGCCAACCGCTGCCGCTGGTGGCGCTCGAAGTACGCCGCCCAAGCCGCGTGGTTGTCGGCGGCGTATTAGGGGAGGGAGAGCTGGGCGTCGGTGAGGGAGGCGCGGACGACCTCGACCTCCTCGATGAAGTAATTTGGCTTGGCGACGGCGTCAGGCAACGGGGGAACGGGCACTCCCCCGTCGCTGAGCCTCCACCACGTCGGCCCGACGTGCATGTCCGGCGGCGCCAGGATGTTCGCCTGGAACAGGAGTCAGGACTCCTGTTCGCGCAGCGAACGGCGGCCGAAGCCGTTGGCCGCCGCCTTGTCTCCGGGGAAACGCTCTGCCATGGCGACGGGCTCGGGAGAGGTAGAGAGGGAGAGGGAGGGGCTGGGCGGCGGCGCTCGGGAGAGGTAGAGGGAGGGGCTGGGCGGCGGCGAGGGGCGGGGCTGGTGTGGGCACAGGCAAGTGAGGCCGCCGGCTATATAGCTGCGCCGCGCCCATGTGAACGCGTGCGAGGGAGGGGAGGCGTCGACGCGCCGTACCGTGACGCGCTGCCCGTGAGGAATCAATGGTAAGGCTAACCGGCGGCAGTCTTGCCATTGATTCCCCGCGGGAACCGAAGCCGTTGGGGGAAGACGAGGCGCCGTGTCGCTGACGCGGCTGGCCCGCGGTTTTTTCTCGCCAAAACAGCTCGCCCCGGCGCCCCCGGGCGCCCCCCAGCGCGCCGGGTTCGGTCTGGGATCCGCCGGCGCTGTTTTCGGCTCAGGCCGGCGAAAATCGGGTTCCTGTGGGCGCCGGCGCGAGAAAATTGTCTGGGGAGGCCTTCCTGGTGCGCGGGTAAAGATGCTCTAAGGTCAGTGCGTATATTCTTTCCATATAAAGTCTAGCATTATTGCTTTTAGCAGCCCTCCAGTGCCAGCTTCAACTAAACATGTTGACTTTGCAATTTGCGTGTACATGATTATTCAAGCTAGCACGTGATTCTGCTGATCGATGATATTTTGCATGCGGACCCGAAGCTTCAAGAGCGGCTTCATAAATCTAACAGCGCCGCTCGAGGTCTTTGACATCGGAGAGCCACAACCAACGACAAGCGCGGAGAAACAGTCGCAAAACCCCAAGCGCGCACATGGAGATGGAGGCTCCGGCGGACCAAGCTAGCGGCAAGCACATCGTTCTGGTGCACGTTGCATGCGTCGGCGGCTGGGCCTGGTTCAAGGTGGCCACGCGGCTCAGGGACGCCGGCCACCGCGTCAGCGCGCCTGACCTCGCGGCGTCGGGCGTCGACCCCACGCCGCTGCGCGAGGTGCCGACGTTCCGCGACTACACCAAGCCGCTGCTGGACCTCCTGGAGTCCCTCCCGCCCGGGGAGAAGGTGGTGCTCGTCGGCCACAGCCTCGGCGGCGTGAACATCGCCCTCGCCTGCGAGCTGTTCCCGGAGAAGGTCGCCGCCGCGGTCTTCCTCTCCGCCTTCATGCCGGACCACCGGTCGCCGCCGTCGTACGTGCTTGAAAAGGTACAGCATCGAATCTGCAAAGGTACACCAGCTACCAGCTTAATAGCTTATTGCCTTTTGTACGACTGAATGTTTTCTCAATCTAAACAGTTCGTCGAAGGAGGAACGCTGGACTGGATGGACACGGAGTTTAAGCCTCAAGATCCTGAGGGCAAGCTCCGTACTGCCATGCAGTTCGGGCCGCTGGTCACGCGAGCAAAGTTCCTCCAGCTGTGCTCGCCGGAGGTACGCGAAATCATAAACCTGTCGCTCTGTTAATCAATCTGTTTGAACATCGGTGAAATGCTCCTACTAGGAAGCTGTACACCGACTGATATTTGAAATTGACCAAATACTAGAAATTAATCCTAGAGCTGCATGCTGTTTGGAATCATATGTATGGCAGGATCTGACGCTGGGAAGATCCCTGATGAGGGTCGGCTCGATGTTCGTGGACGACCTGAAACTGCAGTCACCGTACACCGAGGCCCGCTACGGGTCGGTGCGCAGGGTGTTCATCGTCCTCAAGGACGACAACGCCATCGTCGAGGGCTTCCAACGGTGGATGGTGCAGAACTACCCCGTGGAGGAGGTCAAGGAAATTGACGGCGCGGACCACATGGCGTTGCTCTCGACGCCGGCCGAGCTCGCGCGCTGCCTCGCCGACATCGCCGGCAAGTATGCCGCCTGACGATATGGTACGGTGTGGCGCACGCTGCGCTTGCTGGTCTATCTCTTTACCTTTGATGACACGGTCTCGTTGCCGGCAATAATTTGTGATTTGTCAGTGCTGTCTGTGTCCTTTCCGACCTTTGTTAGTAGTACTATTGTTCTATCTACTGCTCTTGTTACCTCATGGTCGGACCGGGTGTTTTGTCCCTTTAATTATGTTTCCTCGACAATTTTTTGTTGTTGATTGGATAGGTTTCGAGATGTTTCCGAGACTTTATATCGCACTCAATTTCAGAAAGATGATGTTTCAACGTCACATCGCATGGTGGTGCCAAAGTGAATTTCCGGTGGGTGACTCGTTGTTGTGATGCACTCAGCTTGCCTACTCGGATTTACAGAGGAGGGAGAAGATCAGGGGAGGGAGAGATACAGAGAGACGGGGGAAATGGTCTAGTTCTATCTGAAAACTCGACATTCTTCAAAATAACCTTTTTTGTAGCTTGTGCAAAAAAGACAAAATTTTGTGCCATGAAACGCTATTTAGAAGCAGTAAAATTTGTCTTTTTTACTAAGACAAAACAAAAATACTTTTTCACACAAAACTTTGTGCCTTGGACATACCTTTGCCAACATGTATGCATATTTTTTTTTACAATTTTTGAAGATTACAAAACGTATAAAAAGCACATTTTTTGAAAAATGGGTGCAGATGCCCCCGTGTGCAGATCGTGCATGGATGAACCCGGGTACATACGAACCCACTTTGGAAAACACATTTTGCAATATTAAAAAATTCTGAAAAAAATGCGCGCGGACATCTCCATATTCTATGTGTGTGCAGAAAGTTTCATAGAAAAATAACCTTTTTTGTAGATCGTCCACACTCCCGTCTTCACGCTCTTTTATCCCGTTGCGCTCTTGCTCTGCGCCATCTTCTGGGCCTCCGGTTCCTGGGCCAGGCGTCTGTTCCTTCTGGTGGCCTTGGGCCGATGTCCAGGAGTAGGCCAGGTCATGACACTCCCCACCCCTTGAAATGAAAGAGTTTATATTTAAATCTAGTTCTTTTTTCAGTTGCCTAGTTACTTTTGAAGGTAGAGCTTCGAATACCGAAGCACATAATCTTGCCAAACACGCTGCTATGCTTGATCAGGGTCGCCATGTGTGGCTTATTTCTCCTCATAACCCAACTTGTATTCCCTTAAACATTATCGGTGATCAATAAAGTGTTGGCAAAATCTCAAAAAAAAAAAACCTGTCCCCAAATCGGCAGAGCAGGAAATTTTGCACGGTTTGTCTCAAAAAAAAAGGAAATTTTTCACGGAGAGTGTACGCATCCTTCCAAGAATCATGTTGTTGGGAGCGTCCCTGCCAGCGTACCTTGAGTCACGGAATGACTCCGCCGCCCTTCCAAATCGGCTTGGACTGCATAATTGTTGCAGGTTGAAGGAGGCTCATATCCCGAGGAGCTGTCATGGTCGGATCAAGGTGATCCACTGCCTAATGGGGAGGCAGGTATTTCTTCAGCTAAGATACATGTCTGACGCCATGAATCTTGGATGAAGGAGGCAGAGCAAACAGGTACTCCCTCCGTTCCAAAATAGATGACTCAACTTTGTACTAACTTTAGTATAAAGTTGAGTCATCTATTTTGGAACGGAGGGAGTACGAGACAACCCCCACGCGACGAAGAACTTGATAAGGCCATAAAAGTTGACGGCAAGTTTATGATTACGACGCGACCCAGGCGAATTCTGCAAGTAAGGCTGCAGTTTGAGATAAACCCAATCACCCACTTCAAACGATCTTTCACTCCGGTGTTTGTCGGCCTATCGCTTCATGCGCAACAAAGCTTCTTGTAGACAACGAAGCAGTTTAGTCATAGCCTCCCGTCCATTTTTTTACTGTCTGCAACTCCACCAACTTCCCCCAAACTCGATTCTCCACACAGTGTGCTCTATCACGCTATGTGAAGCTTTTCACTGCTGTGAGCCGCGCTTCGACTTGTGGTGAAACTTTTTCTTTATCAAGCTGCAAATAAACGTTAGCGAGACGTGCGAATGCAGCAGTGCCGCCATCGGCGGGGTCACCGGCCCCAGGTACCAACCCGGGGAGTTCATGGAGACAAACAAAAGGTGGCAGGAGGAGCGGTGCTACATCCGGGATGTAGAGCTGCCAGATCCATCTCGGGTCGGCATCGTCAGGCCATTCACACTGACCCCGCCGACGAGGCACAACCCCTAGACCTCAAGGAAAAATCCTAAGGAATCGGCGACATTTCAGAAACTGGCGCACAAGGTAGACGAGCTGCACGGTCAAGGGCTGATGCTTGTGCATGTGATGCACGTGGCTCTCATCCGAGGAATCCAACCACTGCAAGCTTAGTCTCACCCAATGTGGGAGTATACTGGTGAGAATGACCCAACCCGGGTCATCCGAGGTAAATTCTTCGAGGGGAAGTCCATAGAGGATATGTTATCCCTCATGTCCAAAGGCAATGCGATGGACTTCCCAAACAGTGTGTCTGACGCCGGCTTCCATCCCCAAGAAAGGATAATCGAGGTAAGCACTCGCTCCTACTGCTTCTGTTTTGTCAATTTTCGCAAACCTTGGTTGATTCTTCACTCGTTGCAACAGCCGTGGCACTCATGGGTAGCCGTCCTCCGCTCACCGGCCCCACATCCAGGCGGCCCTCAACTAGAAGAGTTGAACTGGCTCTGGTTCGAGGACACCACCCAGACCCGACGCGTCAAACGCAACAAGGGGCATGTGATCTAACTCTGCGACCATGTCGGCGTGTTCGTGGAGGAGTCGAGAAGTGAGACCGATGAGGCCGAGCTGCGCTACTATTGTTGGGGAACGTAGCAATTCCAAAAAAATTCCTACGTACACGCAAGATCATGGTGATGCATAGCAACAAGAGGAGAGAGTGTTGTCCACGTACCCTTGTAGACCGAAAGCGGAAGCGTTAGCACAACGCGGTTGATGTAGTCGTACGTCTTCACGATCTGACCGATCAAGTACCGAACGCACGGCACCTCCGAGTTCAGCACACGTTCAGCCCGATGACGTCCCTCTAACTCCGATCCAGCCGAGTGTTGAGGGAGAGTTTTTGTCAGCACGACGGCGTGGTGACGATGTTGATGTTCTACCGACGCAGGGCTTCGCCTAAGCACCGCTATAATATTATCGAGGTGGACTATGTTGAAAGGAGGCACCGCACATGGCTAAGAGACGATCAACTTGATCAACTTGTGTGTCGAGAGGTGCCCCCCCTGCCCCTGTATATAAAGGAGCAAGGGGGAGGCGGCCGTCCTAGGAGGAGGACGCGCCAAGGGGGAGTAGGACTCCTCCTTTCCTTGTTGGAGTAGGAGAGAAGGAAAGAGGAGGAGAGGGAGAAGGAAAAGGGGGCTGCACCCCTTTCCAATTTAGACCAGAGGGGGGGGGGGGCGCAGGCCTCCTTTCTTTTGGCCTCTCTCATCTATTCCCGTATGGCCCAATAAGGCCCGTATACTCCCCGGCGAATTCCGGTAACTCTTCGATACTCCGAAAAATACCTGAATCACTCGGAACCTTTCCGAAGTCCGAATATAGTCATCTAATATATCGATCTTTACGTCTCGACCATTTCGAGACTCCTCGTCATGTCCCCGATCTCATTCGGGACTCCGAACTCCTTCGGTACATCAAAAACATACAAACTCATAATATAACTGTCATCGTAGCGTTAAGCGTGCGAACCCTACGGGTTCGAGAACTATGTAGACATGACCGAGACATGTCTTCGGTCAATAACCAATAGCGGAACCTGGATGCTCATATTGGCTCCTACATATTCTACGAAGATCTTTATCGGTCAGACCGCATAACAACATACGTTGTTCCCTTTGTCATCGGTATGTTACTTGCCCGAGATTCGATCGTCGGCATCTCAATACCTAGTTCAATCTCGTTACCGGCAAGTCTTTTTACTCGTTCTGTAATACATCATCTCGCAACTAACTCATTAGTTGCAATGCTTGCAAGGCTTAGGTGATGTGCATTACCGAGAGGGCCCAGAGATACCTCTCCGACAATCGGAGTGACAAATCCTAATCTCGAAATACGCCAACCCAACAAGTACCTTCAGAGACACCTGTAGAGCACCTTTATAATCACCCAGTTACGTTGTGACGTTTGGTAGCACACAAAGTGTTCCTCCGGTAAACGGGAGTTGCATAATCTCATAGTCATAGGAACATGTATAAGTCATGAAGAAAGCAATAGCAACAAACTAAACGATCAAGTGCTAAGCTAACAGAATGGGTCAAGTCAATCACATCATTCTCCTAATGATGTGATCCCGTTAATCAAATGACAACTCATGTATATGGCTAGGAAACATAACCATCTTTGATCAACGAGCTAGTCAAGTAGAGGCATACTAGTGACACTCTGTTTGTCTATGTATTCACACATGTATTATGTTTCCGGTTAATACAATTCTAGCATGAATAATAAACATTTATCATGATATAAGGAAATAAATAATAACTTTATTATTGCCTCTAGGGCATATTTCCTTCAGTCTCCCACTTGCACTAGAGTCAATAATCTAGGTCACATCGCCATGTGATTTAATACCAATAGTTCACATCACCATGTGATTAACACCCATTGTTCACATCGACATGTGACCAACACCCAAAGGGTTTACTAGAGTCAATAATCTAGTTCACATCGCTATGTGATTAATACCCAAAGAGTACTAAGGTGTGATCATGTTTTGCTTGTGAGAGAAGTTCAGTCAACGGGTCTGCCACATTCAGATCCGTAAGTATTTTGCAAATTTCTATGTCAACAATGCTCTGCACGGAGCTACTCTAGCTAATTGCTCCCACTTTCAATATGTATCCAAATTGAGATTTAGAGTCATCTGGATCAGTGTCAAAATTTGCATCGACGTAACCCTTTACGACGAACCTTTTTGTCACCTCCATAATCGAGAAACATATCCTTATTCCACTAAGGATAATTTTGACC